TGTCCACGTTTGTCCACCCGTTATTTTCATTTGTCCATCCTTCAAAAAAAAGTTATACTTAAAAAAAGATTGTAGTACCCCCAAGTGATTATTTTTCATTATTATGAAAAATATAATAATAATAGGGTGGACAAACGAAAATAATGGGTGGACAAACGTAGACAAACAGTGAACAAACGAATGCAATAATGATTTTATCAAAATTCACATTTAGGGATGCTGAATTCTCAGAGCAGCTCTGAGAAGGCGGCACTCCTAAATGCGAATTTTGGTAAAATTCATTATTGCATTCGTTTGTCCACAGTTTGTCCACGTTTGTCCACCCGTTATTTTCATTTGTCCATCCTTCAAAAAAAAGTTATACAAAAAAAAATTGTAGTACCCCCAAGTGATTATTTTTCATTATTATGAAAAATATAAAAATAATGGGTGGACAAACGTGGACAAACAGTGGACAAACGAATGCAATAATGATTTTATCAAAATTCACATTTAGAGATCCTGACTTCTCAGAGCAGCTCTTATCTTTAGCAGATATCTTTACTTTACGTAAGTATATAAATAATAGGAATGAATTAAACATTTTCATTTTTCTCATTCAATAATTTTTACAAGAATTCTGATTATCTGTTTTTGAAGAACTATACTGATTAATAATTATCTAAATTTACAATTAATGCAACTACGGACTTTCTTCAATATAATTTTACGGAAATTTCCCAACAGACAACAGTAACAAATAGATATAATCACCACATATTCTATAACGAAATTATCTCAAATCCTAAAAATATTATAATAATACAATAAAATCCATAATATGAAACGTAGCAGTGGGAATATAAATCCAAAATTAAAATATGAAAAGGAGGAAAGGAAGCAGGTGAAAGAAAGAAAGGAAAAAGATCGTGATTAATGTAGTAGTTTCTGTTTTAAGATTGAATGTGTTGTTACAATCGATGGTTAATATCTTGATTGCAAGAGAGCGAAAACGTCCATATTCTTCATGAGAGTATAAGGAGTGCCATACTGACAATGAGTCAAAGTACTATTTTTGAAAAAAAATCGATAGTGACATGGTTGAATTTTTGTTTACTACTTAATTTTGATATCAATTGTCGAGAATATGATTTCCGTATACCTTTTGGACGGTTACGAAAGCAGCCATATACTTATCCGAATACGTATAATTTATAAACGTGACATGAAATAAAAAAATTATTAAGAAAATTAAAATTTAAAATTTTTTTCGCAATAAAAATTAATTATTATAGATATTAACATGTCGTTTATTTAACTTTATTATATCGATCTAAGTCGCGTAAAGAGCATCAAAAATATTGTTAGCCAATTCAATTCGTGCAGTAGTTACTTATTACTGCGGTAGTTTAACAGAGCTTGCGTTTCAAGTCTGAAAGTGTTCTGAGCACAATTAAAACGACTACATACGTAGGATATAAATTCGCGTAGACACGCAATTATAGAAGCACTTAAGATGCAACTAGACTGTTAAGGCTTATTTCTGATTAATTTGAAATTTTAAAAAGTAAATTGTTATAGCTGCAGAGAATCGTAAGAAAATGCAGTACTTTTTTTCAGATTATAGAACGAATGATTTTTAGAACATAAAAATGCTAAAAACTATCATATTACTATTGTAGAGAATTATAAAAAAATCGCGTTATCTATATAAGTAAGTGAGGTATTAATTCTCTCATAAAGCGCTTAATCAATGATATTTAAATGGTACAATAACAATAAAATTGTGAATATTTACTATTTCAAACTTTTGTTATTTTAATTTATTATATTAATTATATTTGATATTATAAAATTATTATATTATTTATTTTATTACATTTTACACTTATGTTTTATTAACAAAATACTTAGTATCTTTTGCTATTTTTTTTCTATAAAATATCTGGATTTGTTGCAACATGATAATTTACGTTTTTGTTTTATTTATTTACAAAAAATACGCAGTATACATACACAATATACGATATACAATATATTATAATCAATAATTTATTTACAATAATGCCGTTCGATTGCAATCATCGTTGATGTTTTGTTAACGAATATTTTGATGCTATACGTTTATAATTTTTTCTTGATATGAAAATTGCCTCTTTGTATGTTCTATTAGAATATGCATTGGCATAGTTATTACTGAATTGTAATTACACATAATTACAGAATTAGAGAACTGTTACTTTATTATGGAACAACGTAGATGTGCAGCGCATTAATTCTTATTTGATAATCTGATAGAAATATATTTACTAATACTTATTTTTAAAAATAGATTTTTTAAATTTAGATGCTTTTTATTAGAAATTTTACGTAAACACACATAATATTAATTTATCACAATTTTAGAGTTTTTCGCAATGACATGCAAATGAACATGTTGAACATAACGTACTTTTATCGAAAAAATTAGCAGAAAAAAATCCATGAAAAATTCATTAAATAAATAAAGTTGTTTCCTAGGTAGAACATAATAGGGTCACAATAACATTATAGCACGTCATCATGACTTCATTTACAAGTAAACTTATTAGTGACAAATAAGACCATAATTTTTACAATATTATTATATCTGTTGGGTTAGAACCATATCCAATTGTACTCTGATTTACAATATATATCTAACTCCTTAAATAATTATGAAAATTAATTAATCTAATATTTAGTTCGAAAGAGAGCAAATCTACCTGACGATTGACTGCAATCGAAATGGACCGCTAAGGGTTCGAAAAAATCGAAAGTCGGATCGAAATCTAACCGACGAAGGGGAAGGGTGGGTAAGGCACCGGCGCCGGATAGTAACCGGGGTATGCTGCTACTGTCGGCTGTATCGGTACCGTGTTGGTGATGTAGGTAGTGAGTTCGGTAGGCACGATCCTTGTGGAGAAGAGAGTAGTATAGGCGGTTTTGGCGCCGAAAGTCAGTTTTAGTACTCGCGAGTCAGATACGGTAGCGAGAGTCTGAGTGATTATGGGCGCGCTCGTCACCGTGAATTGCGGTTGCTGCGGAAACAGTGGCAACTGTGGCACCTGCTGTATCTGTGGTTGCGGCAGCACCGGACTCAGGGTAGACGTGCCATATTCGTAGGACGTCCTGAAGCAGAAAATGCGATGAATATATATTACTATAAAAATGATAAATATTATATATATAATGTTCTTTATTATTTTATATTTGATAAAATATAAGGATACATAGAAAATGCAATAAAATATAGCGTAAAATATAGTATAATATAAAATGCTTGCAATAGATGAACGCATATGATTTACTAAATATTTTAAATACATTATTCAATTTTATTTATGAATAAATGTCCAATTTTGTATACGTATATCCATTACGTAAAAAAAGAAAATTCGCTTATTAAAAGCATTTAGAGTAAGAGATACTGACTTAGGTACGGTGCCGACTGGCCTGGTCAGTGTCGAGTAGATGGTATTCCCCAAGTTCACCACAGGAATCACGTGCGATTCATATAGCGTCTCCAAAGTGACTACTGGTTTGGATGTAGTGATGACCTGAGGTTGCGGTTGGCCAAAATATTTCAGTAGAGCCAATTGTTGGGCCTGCTCTGGGGTCAGCTGAGGCTCTGCATTGCTGCTGGTTGCGGTGTCGCTCTTGACCTTGGACGGCGATGCTGACTTAAAAACATCCAGGTCGGTGTCGGGATCGTTGTTGGGCACCACCACTCTCTTTGGAATATCCTCGTCATCACGATCGTCATCGCCAAAGTCGAGCTCGAGATGCAGTTCACTGCCGGCTTCATCGAGCTTCGAGTTGAACTCGTTTAACGTTTTGCTCGGAATAAACTGATAGATCTCCATCGGTGGCAGTGTCTTCGTCGCCGTCACCACTCGAGCGATGTTATACGTTTGCACCAAGGTCAACCGAGTGGTGCTGTTGCCGGCGTAGATCACTGGTAACATATGCGTTTTCAGCAACGTTTGAGTCGTCGAGAACGTCTCTGTCAGCGTTTCTAATGGCGGTGTCGCCTGAGCAGCATCTAAGGAGATCGCTGGTAGTGTCGCGATAGATGAGTCTAGTGGCAAGGTCGACTCGTAAGCAGCCCCAGTGTTCGCCAAGATGTTCTCAGTGAGCGGCTCCGTTGGTGAAATTGAACTGCTCGGTTCGGCCGTTGCAAATGTTTTCTTGATGGTGGAGGTCACTGTGATGTAGCGAGTATTTCGGAGTGTTCCTACCTAAAGATAGAATATCTTAGGTTATTGGATCTATATAATTTAGTAATTATATAGATATATTGTGATCCGCAGTGGATCAAACAATTAATATCAAGTAATAAACGCGATATAAATCAAAAGTCAATAATTTTATTATGCTATTATAATATTCTTAGATGTATTCAGCACTATGTTATTCAATTCAATCTTTTTGACACATAAATAAATAGATATTAAAATAAAATTGGGAAAACTTACTTGGAAAGAGTAAGGCGATTTGATAGTGGCAATCTCGAAGTATATATTGTCGAGATCCGCCGCGGTGGAGATTTCCACATTGAGCGTCTCTACTGGTAGGATTTGTTCTCCAGGATGCTGCTGATCCTGTTGCATGCTGACACTAGCCACGTCTTCGCTTTCACTGGGATCTAGCTCGTCCTCCGTCAAGGACAGTTCTTTCCTCTGGGCAACATTGGATGAGATCGGGGAAACGTTGATCATCATCGCCGTCGTCGCTGGCGTCTTGCCTTGCTCGTCAAAAACTGCCCCGGGAATCAACTCTGCTGTACTTGGCTCGGTTGTCGATGTTCGCAAATCTTCTTCATCCACCTGCTTACGAATCATGATTCTTGGTTTCGGCGTGGTCTTGTATGACCAGCGACCTTGCGTCCTCGGTAGCTTTACCTTGGGCAGAAGACTGATCGGTGTTGACGGTTGCTGATCGCTGTTCTTTGATTTCGTCAACTGTTTCGAGGGTGAGTTAGGGGATTGACTGTTCGGCCGGAAACCACTGCGACGACGAGTGATGGGTGCTTCAGTAGTGGTAGTTGCGGGACGATTTCTGTGGAGAATGATTTATAAAAGAGGATTATAAAAAAGATCGTAGCTTCACGTCAAATTATTGTATTATGTTTTCTGACCTACAAGAAAAGACAGGATAATAAAATTTATGATCGTTTGATAAAACTGAAAGAAAGCAGATAAATCACTGATAGATTTGTTTTTCTAATTGTACTCTTCTGTTAGCACTCACTTGTAATTTGGTCGAGTCGTGCTGGAACGATTCTTTCCAATTCTCGTTTGCTGTGGTTCGCTGTTATCGTATTCATCGGCAATCTTGTTTCGGAATTTGGGTCTGGGTGAATTATTGGAGATCGAAGGTTTTCGCGTCGATCGTACTGAAGTGTCTAATGGAATAAAAGTTAATCAATGTATTCTTCAAAGATTATTAAAAAAATTTTGTATCTATTATGAATTTTATTGAAAATGAAAAAATTAATATAAAGATAAGAATTTAAATTTACATTGATTTTTATTTATTATATTGATTTATCGTCCACTGCGATAATAATAAATTTATTAATTAATATTTTTTATATATTACACTGTGTGACCACAAAAATTTTCCAAAGGACGCGTGGGTTTGGTTATAGGATCTGTGAAGCTGGCACGACATTCTGTCGATATCAAAAAAATTACAACAGTTCCAATAGCACTTTTCACAGTTCTACAGTTCTATCTAGAAATAAAAAATAGCTCCGCAGTTTTAATATGAAAAAACTAAAATTGAAAATATGGCGTGCTAACTACGCGAATCTGGCACGTCAGATTTCCTCTAAAGTACGAGAAAAAAATTAATATTTGCACTTTTAGCAACAGTTCCCGATAGTTCTACTAAAAACCAACTAAGATATGCATTTTCAAAATAAAATAACAATATTTAACAATTTTTATACATCCTATATATAGAAAATGGCATAAAACTTCTAGAAAAAGTGACGTGCTGACTATTTCTATCAGTTTCAACGGCAGTTCTTACAGAGTTCTATGCAATGCAATCATTTATAAACAGAGTTCCGGCCTCTACATATTTTTAATCAATTTTTTAATACCTGAGTCCAGCACGACACTTGTAGAAAAAGTGGTAATATTTTTATTAAAAAAGTATGATATTATTTAATATGACAAATTTATAATTAGATTATACAAAAAAGAATTTAAATGCAACACAAAATTTATAAAAATTTATCATAAAATACTCACCAGAAGGTTCATTAAAAAGAGCTTCCAAGGGCAGTGAAGATTCGTCCTGTTGCTGATGAGTCGGGGTGGGCTCCAGCTGTGGTTTCAGCTTGCCATGCTGAGGACTAATAGTTTTCAGGATGCGATTGGTGCTGGAGGGCCGAATCTTACCTTCACCTATTGGTGCGACCGGCGCCGATAGAATTCTTGATGAGCTCTGCAATACTTGGGCATACTTGCCGTTGATATAAGTCCCGATCACGCTGGTCTCATGCACGGTCGTGAGTCCATCTTTTACGATGGTGCCGCCCAACTTGGTTACCAGGCCAGTTGGGTTCTCTTTGTCCCTTCGCGGAGTGGTACGCGGCTTGTGATGTACTTTCGACGAGGGTCGCAGGTTGATCAACTATTAGAAACCAAAATTATAATTAAATAATAGATGCCATACATGTCATCAAGGACAATCATAATGATAATTATGTGCAGTAAACAATTGTAAGGTGTTAAAAAGAATAAATTATCATTTACGTGATAGATGATACATATCTTAGTAAAAAAATCTTAATGAACATAAGTCGAAAACTCAACCGTTTTGGAGATATACATTTTTGTTAACATCATAAATGACTTTATACTAGCTTCTGCGTATCGCATGCAATGCGTTTATCTTAGTGTTTATAAATCGCATTCTGAATGCTCTGATTCAATACAATACATACTTTATAACAGAAGATTTCACCGGCAATCATAGTTATTATTAACCGGGCATTGTAGATGTATATATTATTTGGTGATTACATATAGTTATAACCGATTGCCAGTGAAATCTTTTGTTATGAAGTATGTATGGAAATTGAATCAGAATATTCAAAATGTGTGTGCGATTTATATAATAAACGCATAAATAACATTGTATACGATATGGAAAAACCAGTAAGTTACAAAAATGTTTATATTTCAGAAACGTTGAGAGAGAGAGAGAAGTATACCGAGTAGTAAAAGCTATAACAAAATATTTTAATAATATAATAATTTTATATGTACATATGTAAAAGAATATGATAGTAATATAATAACTTGATTTAAATGCAATAAAATATTTAAGATGCAGTAACACTGGAAAATACGGTCGGAAAAGCATATTTATCGTGCTTCGTGGGTGAAACCGATTTATGTATCGGTAAGATCAGATCGGACTTTCACGCTGATCGTCAGAGCTGAGGGACGGAGAGAGGAGGGCAACTAGAAAGGATCGGCTAGGAAATCGATTACGGCATGCGGAAAATTACACCGACGCGTTTATTCCGAATAATTTTGCGGCGGCTTCGCGCGCGAGTTATCGAGAAAGTTGCTTGCGAGATGCCCGTTGCGTAATTTACGGTAAAGCTGAGCACCGTTTCCATTACGACCTTATTCTTATCCCGCCAGCTAGACGACCCATTTTCCGTTTAGTATTCGAACTAGAATGCAATAAGAACTCGTTCTAGCGATGACATCCGTTCGTTATTGACGCGATCCAGTTTAGCAGTAATTAGAGATATGAAACGAGATTCGAAATTTTCATTTCTCGCGGTTCCTGCTCACGTGCGCTGAAGATCAATGTCACTTTATAAACAGGATATCTGATTTCCTGCCTTTGCAATCGAGCGTGAAGAATTAATCGCGGATCTTGTGAGCGCGAAATTGTTGCTGGATTCCGAAAGAGCCAATGCCACATTTTTAACGAATTAGATCATATTTTAGATATTTTCTCTTCATGTAATATGAGATTGGACAGAGTTATAAAATATAAGATTTGTCTTTACGATTTCTTTCAAAAGTAAGTTATTGATTTAACTCTAATGAAGATGGCCTTTCAACTTTTATTAAAAACATTTTTAGGACGACTAATATCACACTAACTTCTCAACCAAGCAAACTAGATTTAATTAGTTTCAATCGATAGATTTTTGTTTGCATATTCCGCAATAAGGTACTTTTCTTTTGCACACCTTTATTTTGAGAGAGTTGACTTAGATAAATAAGTTCAAATTACTGAAAATCACCATGAACGAAAAATCAATTTATTTCTGAATGTATAAATGAAAATCTATCGATTTGTCATTTTGAATATTCAAAAGTAACGGTGATTTAAACCGATCTACCTGATTCGACTATTCTCGAAACTTTTATTGTTAATAATTTTTTAACTAAACATATGCAAACAAAAATCTATCGATTGAAACTAGTTAAATCTAATTTGCCCATGGTTATTAGGAGTTAGTGTGAAATAGTATCTCTATTGTTTTTTTAATAATTTTATTACCAGAATTATGCAAACAAAAATTCAAAATGTGCGTACAATGAATAATTAAATATGCAAACGAATGAACAATCGAATGAGCTGTAGAAAGTTAATTTTTTCAAAAATTAGTAGGACCAACTTCACATTGATATTCATTTAGTCAAAAAAGTCAGCTAAGGCAAATTTCGGTGAATGGCTTTGCTGAATTTATAAAAGTATAACTAATCTAATATAATTCTAAAATATTACTTTATCATTACAAATAAAATGTCAGAACTAAAAATTAAATGTCGTAAACTGATAATTTAAAGATAAAGATATTATATTTATATAGAAAATATTATTTTAATATACATATTGCAGATTTTAAAGTATAACATGTATGTTTAAATATGTCATTTTCTCTACTTCTTTCACTAGCAGAGAAAGCAAATCCGTTATTTAGTTGATCCAGTTGAAAATATTAAAAGGAGGCCAGGAAGTTATTAAAAAAGTGTAAAATGTAATTGTTATGTACAATAACTCTAAAACATAGTACACAATTAAATAATGTATAAAATTACATATTTTGAAGTTTCAATTAACGAGGAAACTAATAATTTTTGCATTTACATATTTGCTTTATTTTTGTGATCTACATTTACATACCTTGTATGTCTCGTCGATCACTTCCGTCGGTTGCTTCGAGAGAAAATCATATTCCGGTTCAGCAAGATTGTTTTTCACGCCTGGAGTTTCATCCTTAGTATGTACTTGAACCACCGATGACAATGTAGGTGTCTTCGTTTGTTTACTTGATTCCTGAGAGAATTATGATTTATAACTAGGTCGACTTTTTAATACACAACGTCTTATAATTTGCATAATTTATTATAATAATTTAATTATTACAAAATTAAACTGCACAATGTATATAATTTAAATATATAATCATTTAAAAGATCTGATTATTGTATATTGTACAAGTTAGAATTATCGTAAGGAGAATATCTCACGTATTCAGAGATTGAGGGCATTTATAAAAAAAATCGACCTTAAAGTCGAAGAACTAGGCGTTCACGTAATATAATATGTATGTATAATTACAGGATATCCTGTACAGAGTCATTCCGTTCTCACCTGACTTTTCGTTGGTTTCGGCGCGGTATTCTCGGAAGAATTCACCACGTTCTGCTCGACCACGGAATTCACGATAATCTTTGTACCCTTCAACTGCTTCTTCGTTTCACCGCCCTGATCCTCGGCCTTGTGCGTCTTGCTGGGCTGGATGTCGGGGACATTTTTCTTCGGCTGCTGCTCCGTCGTCGGCTTTGTGTGAATCGCCGCCGGGGGGGACGTGGTCTTCTTCACGACACCTCCTTCTGAAAATTAACGACACATTTGCATACCTGACGGGAATAAAAATTGCACATCTGCGAGGTCGAATGATCGCGAAAATGAGACTAAAAAAGAATGTTTTGACGGCCAACGCTCGTCCTGAAGGTCTCGGTCAAATTCCTTATCTCTTGAAGAGGAAGAATTCAAGATACGTAAAAATCTTTTTCCTCAACTTTTTTTTCAATTTTATCGTGCGTATTATCTATTTATTATTTCTAATTTTGATTCCATCACATTTAAATTGCATAATAATTCTTATATTATATTTTAGTTTTTTAAAGTTAAAAATATACCTACTTTATATTATATTATTTTATTAATCATGCTGTAAATTATGCTGATATCAAACTTCAGTTGTTATTTACAGCTTTATTTTATTACAATTATTTTTTGTAAAATAATTTATTAAAATATTTTCATTTTTATTTAGGAAAAAAGAAGCGAACAGCTTTGTGTTATTGAGTGGGCGATTTGAAAAGTCAAGGGGAAGACATGACAAAAGAATCATGACAATGAGCACGACGATTTGTACGCAAACCCGGACAGCGATATGCTAAAGAGATTGATACCTGATGCCCCTTGCCAAGGCTCATCTTGTGTACATATATATAATGTTACAGTACTCTTCAGCCTTTCAAGGATTCATCCTTAACTCACAATCAAAGAATCAGAATCCATGAACGAGCACGGCATAATAAAAGGTGTTGATTACACTTGTTAGAAAGTATTTTCTGGCATTATATCCACAATTCAAGATCGCATGACACCTCATGATTACAAATTGCGAATTTTCTGCTTGACTGACAGCCCTCGTCATTTGGTTTTTAGAGGATTCTTTCTTCAGAATACCTCGAAATTTTTTTTCGTACTAATTAATAATTAAGATATACATAAATAAATCGTTATTGATTATGCGCTCTAAGATGATATCCCTTCAACGCTAAAGATACTTTACAGTTATAATTATAAGCAAAAGACAGTGAGTGTAAATATAGAGATCAGATATAGAGATATGTGTAGAATACAAAAATAAACGAAAATTAAGCGAGAGAGAGAGAGAGAGAGAGAGAGAGAGAGAGAGAGAGAGAGAGAGAGAGAATAAAACAAAATAGTAAAATAAGGTAATAGAATAAAATAAGCAAAGAAAAATTAAAAAATAAGAGTTAATCTTAGCAGCTCTTACTAGCACGAATACGCACTACATTTATTTTCGACATTACGATTTTATCGACAGTTCTGCAAAATAGGTAGGATACGTATACATATACTTATCTTCATTGAAAAACTATCATGGTAAAACGCAAATGTTTATAAATGTACGTGTTTAATATTTTTAATAATTTATTCTTTTTATAAAATTTTACCATGTTTATAATTTTATTAATCAATTATTATTGCAATAATAATAATGTATTTCAATTTTCGCAGATTTGATGTAATCATCCGAGTATAATTAAGAAGTATTTTGGACATGTTACCTGGAGGAGCGCTTTGAGGACTGAAGACCATCACTGTGTTACCAATTGTCGTGGTGAAGTCCAGGAAACCGTAGACAGTTTGTGTGACGAAATCATTATTTGTAGCTGCTGGTTCGATTGCTGCAACTGCATCCTCCGAGTAGCCGTTGTACACTTGTGCGGCGGACACTGCAACTAAAGTCGCAAGTTCACAAAAATCTGTTATAATTTGCCTAATGATTTATTATAAAATTTTTTTTAGATTAATATTATTTTACAATGAAATTTTATTTTATCTATACAAGGCTGAAAGGAATTAATAAAAATTGATATGAATTGTGGAATTGTGTGTGTGTGTGTGTGTGTGAAACAGGAAGTATCTTACTCAAAATTCTATAAAATTCAGCGACGACATCAATTTACTCACCATACGCTGCGACAAACACGAAGTATCTCGATACCATTGCGCTCAGTCTGATCTCATCCTAAGCGGACACACGAATTTCGTGGAATCTGAAAGAGTGAATATTATAAGACAACAAAAACATGAGAAAAAAATTTTCTTGTACATTAATCATTTTACGTATAACAGTCCAGTGCTTAGTATATATGTATAATAGCCGTCATAATCTAGCATTTTTTACGTCATATAAGCAATAAAAATATATTACGTCACCGCTTAAACAACAAAAAGTTCAAACTCGAGATAGTCGTCTTAAAGGTATCTCTTAAATATCTTTGACATCTTTCACAAAAATGTTTTAAACGCTTTTTAGAAGTTTTTAAGACGTCTTATGTCTCATTTTTGAACATGCTCTTGTTTATTTTACTGTTTGACAAGACAGAATAATTTGTGAGTTACATTTATTATTTATAATAATATCTTCTATGATCATGAGAGAATCGAGCTGTAATTCTCAGATAATTACGCAATTATTGCAGTTGAACGTGCAATTGGCCTCTTATAACCATCTTCTAGGACGGGATAAAAATTACGTGTTACATCAACGGCGTAAATATGACACATTACCGTGTTATTTTGCAAAGTACCGTTACTTTTCCTCTCCCTTAACAATTAACGATTATGTAAAAATAGCGGATTTTGCTTCATTAGAAATAACGTCTTGTGAATTATCTATGTGCGCTCATCTCTCACAGAGATTTCTAATTATCAATTCTCCTACGCGAGAGTTCGACCTTGGATTTACGCAGTTACATCTCCGTTTCTCTACGGAAGAAATATTTCAATAGATACTGACCGATTTAATGAGATTTAATGGCATCTATTTGATTGTTATTGTAATAAATTTCTCTTTTCAACAAAAATGTTCGTTTTTATCTAATTAACATTGGAAATTTTAATTAAATTAAAATTAATTAAATTATATTAAGTTAAAATTTAATTTAAAATTAAATAAAATGTTAATTAAAATTAAAACTTATAATTTTTTCAAATGAAAACTCTTAATAATTGTTGAATATTTTGGTATAAATTTTAATATCACCCGATATTTTGATTTCTTTAACTTCTCTGTGGATAAAACTTTCATTTACGTAAAACATTGACATTGTCCATCGAATTTTAATTCACCGCTATCGAATGCAGACGAAAGAAAAGGATAAAAGATCGGAGTAATTTCGCGACTGCGTGAGGCAATCGAGTGTCGTAAGTTAAAAAATTTCCTTCTCGTTCGATCGTTATCTGCTCGAGTATGAGCATTGTGAGCTCGTTCGGAAAACATCCTGTGTGAGACTAACGTAACAGCTACGTTAACACAATCGCGGCGAGGAAAGTGCGCGCTCGCGCGACGGGATCGTTACGTAACGCGCAACCACTGCCTTGCCGGTAATCGTTTTAACAACCCGAAACAATGGTAAGAGGTGCCTCCAGAGAGCAGGCACACCCAAGATTTGTGATGTCAAATCGGATTGACGGAGGCGGCTCGAAAAACGCAACATGGCACGCGCTTTTTCCCAAGTAACAAATCGACATTATTTGTCGTCATTTTGACATCAAAATGACAACAAATAGCGTTAGTTTGTTACCTGAGAAAAAATTATCGTTATGTTGATGTCAGAATGACATTAAAGCCCCTATATTTTGTAACTCTTTATTACATACACTGAACAAGTTGACGGTATTTGTCGTCATTTTGACGTCAAAATGACATTAAAGGTGCATCTTTATGCCTCTATTCTATAACTCTTAATGACAGTAACGGTATTGTTAGTGTCATTGCGTAGATTTTATACGGTAAAAAAAGTTTCGCAATGACAATATATTATATATTATATATCGTTATTATTGTTAAAAGTTATAGAATTTCAAATTAAAAGAAAGTCGCAAAATGATGACTTTAATTTTTTATTAACAAAATTTGATTGTTTATGGATGTTAAGAATTAAAATAAAATTACATTTCAATTTTCTGTTGACACTTTTATATGTTCTTTGAAATAGAGATACATCTTTAATATAATTTTGAAAAACAATATCAGTTTGCTATTATGCATCTAAATCTATTTTAATAAGCGCGTCGTGTGCCGTTACAGTGCGCGCCGTTATACATCACCGATTGCTATACAGGGTGTCTCGAGTTTACCGGACGTTCCTCTAACTATGGCAACCTTGGACAATCCTTGTGAAGACAATCCTTAATAAAGCCGATGAGAGAGAGAATATTATTCGTCCTTTCGAATCGTGCATTCTCAATTGAGTTTTGAATTATAAAAGATCGCGTTTAGAAATCCGCTTGAAATCAATCGAATTTGTCATCGATTTTCATTATTATCAAACTCGCGAAATTTTTCGTTCCTAATTCTCAATCGTCCGTTGGCAATGGGTGTACTAATTTTTTTAGCTCTTAATTATTCATTTTATGGCTTATGTATCTTTCATGCGAAATAAGGCTCGCTCGACCGCACTTTCGCTGCTTTCCTTTTCCTAAACACCGCAAAGTGCGAAACACTTCCGTCGTAGGCGGTTTTACAGAAGCGATCTTTTAATCCGGCAGCCTTTTTTCTGGAGACCCAGAATCGCAATCGGGGGAATCAGAGTAGCGGTGTGCAGCATCGCGGAATCGCGAGAGCGCTCCTTTCACCCGTTCTCTCACGACTGCATCGCGGGCTGATCTCGGCGAGCAGTAAATAACGGCTTCAACTATAAAACTGAAAAGCGCAAACGTCACGCTTCCATCGCGAGAACCGTTTCTGATGATAGGGTACTACGCGGCGAATTATTGTAACTTGAAAATGAGTGAGAATTTGCTGATCATACGTAACCTGTCGAATGGAGAACCTATTCATCGTTATAAAAGTAATAGATATTACAATTTATGGCCATCCGTAGTGGCCTTTTTATATGGATAGTTAAAAGCATAGAAAAGATCTATTTTATATTATGAGGAGAAACAGCAATGCACCCACAAAAAAACAAACCACACAACACATATGTGTATTACCTAATTAATATATCACATTCTTCTTCTTATTATGTATTATATAAGTATTACATAATAGTTCATATTTTAATTAATATTATAATTATAAAATTTTATATTGTTTCATTTATAAATGGTAATGTCGATGTAAAAAAATCTTAAAACATTCTGAATATTCTTAAAGAAATATCCTAAGGAATTCCAGCCCTCAGAATGTCCTAAAATATGGATATCCTGAGGATGTCATTCGGAAAACTGTGTTGTGCGAAATTATTCGTTTTATTAATTGTCATATAATTAACATATCTAGTATATATATTATCTAATTAATATATTATCCTTCTATATTATATATTATATTATATAAATATTATATAGTTTATATTTTCATTAATCATTATTATATCATTTTATATCGTTTTGTTTACGAAAGGTAATATTGGTACAAAGAGATTTTAAATCTTTCCAAATTTGAACGTGTTATAAATGAAAATTAATAGAGATTAAGACAATAAAACAAATAGTCAAAAATAATCACTGTGAGAATTCAAGGTGTTCACGACTATGACGAGTCATACTCATGCGAAGGTAAAGAGGAGTGGCCCTACTCTCTCGCTCTATTCTGCTATATCGTATACACATGCGCGCGTATACGTGCACGGTATGTGTAATGACTTGTAATGTAAAAAAGAAATACCGTGCTGCAACGTGCGTAAATCTCGGTCGAGCATTCGAGTAAACCCTTTCCCGCGCGTCCGACGACTATTTCTTACGATCGAAATGTACTGTTTTTTCATGGAAAGAATCGTGAAATGCACAAAGCAATATTCCATGACGTACGAAGAGAAAAAACCTTAGTGACTCGCATTTAAAAATAATTTATACAACTTCACGAGAAACTCTCTCCCTTTATAGATACTTGCTATTTTTTAAACACACGATTACATAATATTTTTTTACATTCTAATTTAATTAATTTATTAATTAGAAAATTATAAAGTATACGCAAATAACGGTCTAAAATAGAGTTGGAAATTAAGGAAGTGGAAATATGTCTTAACGTTGCCGAGTTTCGGATTGTCACGTCATTAACACGATTGTCGCGAGATCCTATGGTGACAATTAAGCGACCAAACGATGTGTCGGAGACCGAGAAACTAATTATTACGTCCGTGAGCATAAATTTCGTGGTCAAGAGTAACGATCTGGGCGAAAGCCTGTCTCGAAATATGCTGAAAACCGGTCATCAACGGCAGGAATGGTGTTCGTCCGCTCGATCGCTCAAGATCATGGTCAGCCCAAGACCGTCGAGTCCATCGACCATCAACCGGGCCTCAGGAATCAACTGCCTACGTACACATTTCTGCAGTTACGTTTTCGGCATTTTTTCCTTCCGCGTGGATGTAAAAAATGTTCTCGATGCAATTCTCGTCTCTCTAAATTTGAACTCTGCTGAACCTTGCGCTTTCCTATACTTTAATTATAAATAAACAATATCTATAGCTTATTTGCTTAAATAGTTGTTTTTAGTTAAGTGGATAATTTGTATATGTATATATCTTTGACACAATGGCAATGTAGCCATTTACACGATACTTTTAATTGGGTTTAAT